TTTATACTAATTGTATTTAGACAAGATATCATGTCTGCATCTTATACTCTAAGTACAACAAAGACAACAATATGCAATGTATTAAATATTGTAATTGTCCTACTAATCTGTTTTGAAACTATCTCATTGCTATTTCATTCTCAATAAAATTAACAAAAAATAAAGTAGATACAACTTATAAAATAAATAAACAGATATGGTTTTTAAAAAAGAAACAGGAGTATATTTTGTAGTTTTGCAGATTCTTCATTGTATTCGAGTTGTGACAGCATATGAGAGAAATAAAGATTCGATGCGAATTAATGATTAATCAATAAACTTAGGCAATTTATTACATGTGAGGAGTGGGGGAAAGATGATACAAGAAAGATACTTGTATTCTGGGCACTTAGTAGATAATCAATTGAAGAAACTTAATAAATAGTGGGTTCCAAAATTTGAAAGCAGGGACAGAGATGACATGGAAGCCTGCATAGCCACGGTGCTAGAAAATTCTTTCTTTCTCTTACAGGAAATAACATCTAGGAAGCACACAAAAGATTTTTAAGATTACTAATAAGAATTCCTCAGGCTTCATAATTATATTTTACTTTTGTTGTGTTTTTTAAAAACTGTCATTGCCAGATCTGCCCAAGCACAGGCTCTGGAAGTGTGTGGGAGAACTTTTGTGTTGTCCTGTGCCCACCAGACCAAGCCCAGAAACCTTGAGTTCCCCAGACCTCTCCCACTCATTTAGAGCCACCCTGTCTGCCTTTTGAGTGAGAACCTCCACAATTATCTTGGGAGCCCTCCAGACCTGCCAAAGCAGAGGCATGGTGAGTGTGTGGAAGAGCTTCTGCACACTCCTGGCCCACCATTCATACCCCTCCAGACCCAGCCCAGGTCTGGCATACAGGCCTAGGGTGAAACTGCAGCTGAAGTCCCTGCAGTGAGACGAGGATCAAAACCATGCAGTTAATGAAGGAGCAGAACATCTTTCCAGAGGGGCACAGCAGGCTCACTTCCAAGGGCAGCAGCAGGAAGGAGCTGAGCACAGTAGCCAGACCCAAGCCAGCACAACTGGATGAACAAGAACTTGGTATATCGGTACCTGAAATTTACTAGGTGCTAAGGTTACAACTGCACCAAATCACTACATCAAAGGTCAGTGGACAGTGCTATAGAAAATGACAAATAGAAGGAGCAAAATGCAATCTCAGGTCATGAGCTCACTCAAAAAAAAGTGCAGAGGACACTAAAAGTGCACAGCTAAAATATCTGAATTAATACTGTCTGAAGTAAAGAAACAACAGAAGCTTCCGGCTATCCTAAGCCAGTGGGACCTGCCAGTCCGAGACCAGGTGCATTGTGGGTGAGACTGTCTTCCACACTCTTGGAACCCCCCCAACACTCTGCAGCACCCCCAACTCCTCCCACCCCATGAGAATTTCTGCCACTTTCTAGGGACCCCCAGAACCAGTCCTAGCGCAGGCCTGGTGAAATTGTGGGAGAGCTTAGGGCTACCCTGCTCCAGGATGACCTGCTGGTCCCAGCTCAGGCAGAGCGTGGGTGAGACCCTCTTCCATCCCTTGGGAAGACCCCAAACTCCGAGAACCCCACCACTCCTCCTGCCGAGTAGGAATTTCTGCCGCGTTCAGGGAACACCCAGATCCA